GTGCTGCTTGTGGCTTTGAAAATAACTTAATAGGACAATAAATGAGAAGCCGCATTTCTTCCACTCCTCCGCCTGTGTGTGACCCTATGTTTCATTGTAAAAAAATAAAATAATTTTTCAACCAATTCTGGATCTTTCAACTCTCTCAAGCATCTGGAAGCATGAGTATACACTTTGGCAGTTGCAGACTGCAAGTGAGATGCACATGGATTACATGGGTCTTTAAGAGCTACAGTGTATATACGCGTCTGTTGGTAAATGTTTAACTACAGCAGTGCCTGTAGTGCTGCATTTAACAGTGCTTGCGGTGTAATCATTACCCTTGGATGTAAAAACACACAAAGATGCCTGACACGCATGCACCAAACAAAACAAAGACTCAGCATAACAAACAACTGGATACAGTCTGCTCATGGGGTTTATGTGGAGCAACGTGTGGGAATAGAGATCCAAAAAGATCTTGGAAATCATCACTCAGCCTTTTGACTTGCTCGAAAAGACCTTTGAAATGCTTATGAATTCACAGCAGGTCCTGAAAGTTCACAGCAGAGAATCGATCCTCTGACCATGACTCAGGGCAGCAGCCTCACAAATATTAAAGAGGCAAAGCCAAACCAGAAAGAAAGATCAATGACCTGGAAGAACGTTTATGATGAAACAACATCAAGACAGTGATGATACGGTGCCAACCAGCAACAGAGGTGTAGTCTGGGAAGTTGGAACAACACTGTATGTAATAATTTTTGCACTCAATTTCAACAGTTTTTCTATTTAATACATTTCACACTCCCTCTGAATCTTAGAATCACTCTTGAAGACCCCAAGATACTCACTGCAAACCCTGAAGGAGCTATCTGTTGGTTTCCGGCAGAGCGAAGTCGCAACAGACTCAGAGACTTGGTACGGACTAATCCTGTGTGCTGAAGAATCGGCCCCACATTGTCCCAACTCACACTTAAAATCACAGTCTCATGAAACCAGAAGAGCCACATCATCGGCATTAAGCAGAGATGCGATGTGGAGGCCACCATAGGGGATTTAAGAGATTCTGTCCATATGTAGACGCTGTACCGGACTGTTGTGGTAAAGAGGGAGCTGAGCCTGAAGGCAACCAGCGCTCACCTGTGGTTACCAGCTTTGGTTGAAGAATGAGATCACAACTACAAGCAGTCGAAATAAGGTTCCCTTCCCCATGTCTCAGCCTCCTGGACACCTCACTGTGGAGGTGATCCTGAGACATCCAACTGAGAGGACACCCAGAGGACATTGAAGGAATTATATATCCCTTCTGGTCTAGAGATGCCTTAGCCTGTAGGTCCCAAATTTTACGCTTTTAAAGTGTTTTATTTTTAAGTTTTGATATCCATAAGAAGTTATATTTGTGGTTTTAAGAACCACACATATAATGGATGATAGATAATTGATAGATAGATGGACCGATACTCAGCTAGTCTTATAGTCCAAGCAACAGGGAAACAATGACACCTATCAGACTTGAAAAGGGTATGTGGCAGTGACAAAAATCACAGTTAAAGCTAAAAGCAAACGTATAATACAAAGGAAGAAATATGTGCAATGATCATCACAAGGAAGTTAAAATAAGCAACGCTCTGAGCCAAGATCTCTGCTGTCCAACTGGTGACTCAGGCCCTGATCCAAAGCCCCCAAACTCCCCACCCACCCTCACGCTTACATCCTCACAGATTTTGGCGTATACTCCTGCTAAGTCTTTAAGGGTTCAGAGCTGCCCCACCATAAAATCGACAAAGTGTTTGAGGGCTTTGTCACAGGCTTTTTTAGCTCTTTATGCACACTTTCTGCAAGTGCTGAAGGGAAAAACCCACGTGCATTACAAAGGAAAAAAAGAATAATAAACAAAACATGGAATGAGTCAGCAAGATTGCGTTTTCCTTGTAATTATAATCACACATTTTGTTAAGCAGAACTATGTGCTGATGTAGAAGATTTTGACTTCAAATATGATGATTTAATCCGACAGAGCTGTTTTACTTATCAGCAGAAAGCAAACAATGAATACTCCACTTCATTAAACAACATAGCCTCTTACACACTTTACTGTGCAGAGAAATGTCTCTGTCTGGGGAGTTCACAAAGTGCTGTTCCATTTATCAGACAGCCTTTCCTCACACCTTCCTGCACGTACACACTTATGCACGGTGATGTCACAGTCGGTTTAAGTCTGCGAGGGTTCAGTGTTTAGGGCGAGCAGGGGACATTGGAGCTGGGGCCTCAGCCTTCAGCCATTCAGGTCACCATAATTGTAAAATTCTTGAAATGTGGGAGGCACACCCTGTAAACTTTATTCAGGCAGATGTCAAGCAACTCACTGCACCTGTCAAATCTATGGTGGGCAGGGGGGGGGACTTGAAGGACACTCTCAGACATGCAATTTACGCATAATTGGACTACCTGAAAGGAGAGGGCGACTGAACCCTACTTACTGCCAATGAAAGTGAGCTACTAAAGGAGTTATTGAGCATCAGTACAGAGGAGCCATACAGCCCAGGACCTGGATAAAAGCATGACCTAGATCTCTCCTGGTTAAATGCCACTCTGTCACAAATACAAGGACGCACTGAGACTTGCCAGAGAAAAGAGCCAGCTCATACAAATCATACAGCAGATACTCATATTTGCAAATTTACATTCATCAGTTTCAAACAAGCTGCATTCAGCTATTTTTTTTTCCATGGCATACAGCGTGTGTGTGACTGAACATTTCAAACACAAACTGACTCTCATGCTCTAATACCCTGTCTCTTCTTCATTCATAAGCTGCATTATCTGTCAATATGTAACTAAAGCTGCTCTGAATAAGGTGACACTGGCACTATTAAAGTTAGGCAGAGGGGGTCCATCAGGGCTTGCAGAATATGACGCTGACCTGATCAATCTTTTCATCAGAAAGGAACAAAGGATGGATTTTGTTTTCAAGTAACTGGTCAGTCCTCTTGTGTTAATAATCTGTAGAATTGATTAAGATTGCTCGAATTTGCTGCTCTGAGATATATGGTTTTATTTTATCTTTCCTTTATTGTTTCCCAATTGTTGAGCTACATGAGCGAACAGGCAGGGTTGGCAGTTTTGCTCATGCATTTGTCTTAGTGGGAGAAATAACTTGGTTTGCACAGTTTCAGCTTGTTGAACAGGTAGTTTGAGCACATGAGTTAACAGGTGTCACAGGGTTTTTCCTGCATAGAGAATTGCAAGGCAGCCCTCTCCATCAAATTTCATGCTGCCTCCGCCTCCCAACAAAATTCTAGTACTTGTTTCCATTTTGTATTGATTTTTGTGGACCTACAATTATTCTCTTCTAATTCCAATTTTAACCTAATTTTCTATCAAATTTGCCTCAGAAATTAAAGGGTTACTCTGATCATTGAAGACCCAGTGAAAGAGCCCCTTGCTGCAACTGTAGTTGGGCTTATTAGAGTGACTTTTAGCCATCTGCTGTAGCAACATGAGATGGACTGGCTGACTTTTGTACAGCGATTCATGGTTCATGTTGCTTGTGCTGAGTTACAGACCATTAGCTTGTCCAAATCAAGCTAGCTTTAGCTCTGGTTGCCCCAGCGACAGCAGCCAACAATTAAAAGCCTAGTTTGTACCCCACGCCTGTTGTTGTTTTTGTACAGTCCAACACACTGGTGGTGTCTTGACGCATGTTAATTCTATTGAAAAGCAGCAGTTTTATCACTTTTGCTCTCTGACCCTGACAAGCTTCTTCATTCAGTGTGGTGTGCCAGATATGTGCTACCTGCCATTCTCAAGTGGAAAAGAGAGAAGGAGAGTATTGAGACGGAGGTACGTGGTTAAGCAGAAACAGAAAGTACTTGTGGTCTGAAAAACAGAAAGAAAAATGGTTAAGGCTGACAAATTCTTATGTCGATTACAAAATGTCAGACCATAGTGAAAGATACCCTCCATAATTTAACATAGCCCGAGGTCATGTCTTCAAACTATTGAAGATAATTAAGTTACAATGATATAAAATGTGTTTTATTACCATTAACAATTACCATAAATTATGCATGTGATGGGGGATGGGGTGGGTATACTGTCACACATTTTTTCTACCCACTTCTACTCAGCTATGGTAGAGCAAACTGGACTGATACAGGCATATTACACTGTGTCTCCCAGTAGGGAAAAAACATAGAGAAAAGAAAAGCTTTTGTGTTGACTTCACATGGAAATATTAAGAGCATCAACTTGAATTTTCTGGCTATAAACCAGGTTAACATGACATTTTTTCCTCAAATAATTTAATGTGCAGTTGGATAAATTTGAGAAGTCCTTTAGTTTTAAATGTTTTGTTCACAAATGTGGTTACTGCGCTGAGCATTACCAGAACCTCAAAGTGATCCTTAACTAACCTTCAAACTGTCTGTAAGAGTTGAAACTGAACTCTCTTAATATTTGAAATACTGTTCCTGTACAGTATTTACTGTACCTGTACTTACACTACATTTACACACAGACAAAATAGAAAGAAAACATCTGAAAGCTTCAGGACAGCTGCACAACCGCAACAAAAACACAACCTATGCCATGTCCAAGGACAACAACAAACACCATACCACACACCCGACAACGGGATATCCAGGGCCCGGAAAGATGTTTTAAGTTGGGGGGTTCTGTAGTGGTAGGAGCATTTTACCCCAACTCATACAAATATAGCGTAGGCCTAAACAATACTACTACTACTACACACACAAACGCACACACGCACACACACTAAAAAAGCAGCAGTAACAGCAACAGAAGCCAGGTCTATAAAATATGACTCAGTAATGCTACTGCACAATAATAGCTCACAATAATGCCATAACATTGAAATACACGTCTAAAAGCCCATTGTGCATGGCACACAAGAACTTATCCACATATTTTCAACAAAGTTATATCAGTGGGATGTTAAAAGTAATTGATAGCTGAATATTAAACTGCTCGGCGGCAGCTTATACCAAATAACTTACCTTGAGCTGCAGGTCAGGTGCTCCAGGAGTTATAATGATCCAAATGTGGCCATCAGGACGGCCTGGGTCCAGCTCCTGGGGAAGGTGAAGGAGCACCGAATCAACGGGTTTCCCTCTGCTGCCTCTTCACGCAAAGCGAAACACACAACCTGACCACACTCCGCCACGTAATGAAGCCACTTCCATTTAGCAAACCAAGCTGGTGTAAATGCGCGGCTGAAAGTTTCTTTCCCAAAACGTCCCGCCGGAAAATTGAAGTTGGATGGCTCGAGAGGCTCCTCAACTGCCGCCAAGTCAGTCCTAGCTTGACACCTGTTAGCAGCGGTCTCCTCAATGGTGACGGACGGTGCTAACGCTGATACGCAATCTCCGTCTCCGAGGAATAATTACAACCAAACGAAAACTATGCTGGTGGAGCTGCTCACCTGGGAAGGCTGGACTTCACCTGTGCTCTCTTTAGCTGGTAGTTTTCCAAAATAATCTGCAATACGCCTTTCCTCCGTTTTGATTTCAGCCTTCGATTAGCTACCAATGCTACAGCAACCGGATGTAAATTTACAAACCTTACCTTAGAGCTCACATGACCCGCCCTACACCGCCTCTGATTGGCTAATGACCGTTGCCTTCGCTGGTTTGATTGGTTGGGTTAAGGCAGAGGAGTAAGAATGGTTAGGTTGAAGGTAAGACGTTGTTTGCCCAATCCCAATGTTCAACCTCACAGACTCACAGACTTCGAAACGAGCTTCCGGTGAGTCCGTGAGGACGAAGTTCTGTCCCACTGTCAAACCATCGAGGGCATGAAGGCTCTCAGACATTTTGAGTCTTTAATGGACACTTTCCGTAAGTCCGCATTTCTGCAGACTTTGCCTGAGGGAATTACCCAAAGTCCATAGCGTTGTGACATTAAACACGGGGTTGCCATGGTTATCATCAGGGGACGCCCGGAAGCGTAAAAAACGGCTAACTACGACCATAAAACGCAATAAATAATAAGATAGAAGAAGAACGGTTAACAAACAAGCATGAAAGCAACGAACCCTAATGTTAGCATTGCAAGAAAAAAGACAGTATATGACAGAATGAACACAGAGTGATTCAGAGCCTGAACTGAGGAGTTATTTGTCCTATGATCACATGATGATGAATTTCAAATATCCAAATTGGAACAGATTATTTTTTCTGTTTACAAACAGGGAGCGAAGGGAGGGAATAAAAATGTACAATCAAAAGTCCCCCAACCCACAATTAAATACAAATGGCATCATCAAGGTAACGTGATATAAGTGCTGTCCCATTCCTCTTTATACCATTTTGAGCCCTTGCAGCCTCTCATACTCATACACTCACCAGGTGATGTCAGTTAAGTCTAGGAGGGTTCAGGGCTTTGGACTTAGTGGGGACATTGGGATTGGGCCTATAAAAATATTATGCTCTCGCTATGCGTCCTGCGGCCGTGCATACAGTATATTCAACAGTAAAGTTCCCATCGGAAAGATTCCCCTACAGTGGTCATGGTGCTGAAAGCATACAGATTCTGAAGAGAAAATGAGAACATTATCAAATTTAATGATACAGATGGCCGCAGGACCAGGGGTACAGCAGAAAACCCAGAGAAACCCCACTTTTTTTCCTTCAATGGCGTTAATGTTAATTTTATTGTTGTGATGCCTTATGTAGAGCTTGACTGAGTTTTAATCTGACACTGTGTAAATGAGAAATGTTCAACACCGGTTCAATGTCAGTGAATGAATAGTTAAAGTAAAAAAGAAAAAAAATTTTTTAAAGATTATACTGAGCAGTGTTTTTCATTTGCATGGGACCATGCATGATTCACAGAAACCAGGGGTAAGCTGTTCAAACCAGAGATGAACCATGCAAATCTGTCATGTCAGCACAGCACACAGCGAGCTCCACTTAAAGCTTGTGCTTCACACACAATTACAACCAAGGTTATATTCATTATTTATTTACTGTTCCTCCTCTTGGGCAGATCACACTTTGTTGTAGAAATCAACTTTGCATATTAACAAGTCTTAAGAGAAACACTTCATTAAACTTTCTTTGACTTCTCCTTCTGTTTTTTCAACAGAAATGAAGGAACATGACTAACACTCTCACAACACTCGTGAGTGTGACACCAATTGAAAGCAGAGACAACATGGTTAGCTGCCTGTATATGCATCATCTTTGGGGCATTTCACCAAGTCAGATTTAAAAAATTTAATGCATGTGTTGTAATCTGAAACTGTACTGGGTCATAGATCTAAATCTGTGAAGAAAATCTGCACAGTCTTCTTATGTTGTTAGTGAAGATGAAATTGTAAAAGGAGAAGTTTTGGCAAATGACTGAGTGGACCTGAGCGGCGCTGGACCAGCCAGCTTGTTAGCTGCTGAAGCCATAAAGTATGGTAGTACTTCCGTTGTCATCTGTGCTACTTGCAGCATGTTTCTGTATTTGGTTTTGTTGTGTGTATTTGCAGCATGTGTTGTCAAATTGATTCTGTTTACTGAATTTACCTGAGTTTTGTCCATTTGCATGTGTTTTCTTAAGTTGCAATGCGTTGAGCTTCAGAGCCACCATACATAAAGCTCAGCGGTAATAAGATACCCAGGACCTGACTACAAATTTTTCCACCAGTACTACCTGTGCCGTGACAGAGGCACCTGGTTGTTTCAGTTTAAAGTCTTTTTCCTCACACTCAGTGGCCGCCATAAGACAAATTATACAGGTCAGACCACATTCCAGACTCTGTCGCTCGAATTTAACATACTATAAGATCATTGAATTTTATTTTGACTTAATGGGTTCAAATAAAGTAATTCTATGTAGGTTATATATGGTTTAAATAGATATTTTATTTAAAATGGCTGATTGCCAGATTGCCAAGCGGAGAGACTGTCCAGAGTTTGATAAAAGGTTTATCGTGAACAGTCTAAAAGAGGACCATGCATTTAGGGTTTTTCTTTTTTTTTTCTTACATTTTCACTGTCTGTGAAAATGAAAGTGTACAGAATGGACTCACCTCTGGAATTTAACTGGGAGGAGGAGAAATTCCTCTGTAACTGGGCTGAATGTTTTATGTGCTATGTATGGTATGAACACTACGTTATCATTTCACAATCACATACAGAGGTGATGCTGCTTAAGATGTTGCAGTGTATGCAACATATATTCTAGTGGAAATCGCTCTGTGCAACACGTGACACATGTACGTTTTTATCCACACTTGCAACATGGCAATGTCTGTCTGTAAGTCAGTCCACCACTTTGGTCCAGAGAGAAATAGCTCACAAGCTATTGGATGGATTGCCATGAAATTTTTGCACAGACATTCATGGTTCTCAACAACTTTAATAATCCCCTGATTTTCCTCTGGCACCACCATGAAGTTGACATTTTGAATTTAAATGTCTGGACAACTACACGATGAATTACCATGAAATTTAGCACAGAGATTCATAGCCTCTTCAAGATCAAGAGTAAACAGTTTGGTGATTCTCTGACTTTTCATGTAGCAACATCAGGGAGTCAGAATCAAATCCACCTGTAGTTTTTTACCATATTTGAACCTGGTGATTAAAACAATTGGGAGGATGTCAGGTGGTGGACTTTGGAAAATAAATGCAGCCCATTTTTTAAAAGGCACAGTTGTCAACAGGATTACAAATGTGATTCAGATATACTGAACAATAAATAACATGGCAGCTTCACTCCCAAAAAATTAAAAACTGTCAAATAAGTGACAGATCTTTGGGACTAATGCCAGACAACAAAATAAACCAGTCTGTGTTTGAAGTTATCATCAAATGAGTTTTTTTTTTTCATTTCACCCCTTCCATTAAAAATATGAATGTATCTTCAATTACAAAAGAACTTTATACATTAAAAAAAGAAAAACCTTGATACTTACAACAAAGTTAGTGAGCCCACCCACTGCTCTGATTGTCTGCCAGAAATTACACACAAATAATTTGCAACAGCAAATAGGCCTTGAGAGAAAATAGCATGGTGGGCATTTCTTATCAACAACATGAGGAGATGTTTTTCTATTGAATGTTTCTACAAACTCAGGGTTCCCACCTGTCCTTGAAAACTTGGAAAACAGTTGGCTGAGTGAGAGAGAGAGAGAGAAAAAGTCAAATGTCCTGGAAAATATTGAGTTGTCCTGGAAAATGATTTCAACATTCTCCTATTTTCAGGCACAGTTACGTTCAGGATCATGTTGACATTCAAATTGTTTGCTACTTTATGGACGACAGTATTTTGAATAGGCGGCCATCAGTTTGCTGTAAATGCAGGTTTGATGACTTAAAACTGAAGTGGCCAAAACTCTGAAGAATGTAAGTTACATTATCCTTTAAATGTGCGTAGGTCACCATTGGCTGCTAACGGTGGTAGCTTTTATTAGGTTTATAGATTAGATTGATTAGATTAGATTTATTAGATTGTTTTGTAGCTAAAGGTTGAAGGTTTGTGATTGAAGCCTGGCGGAGCAGGTTTCAAATGTGTGCTGGTTCTTTACTGAGAGTTTGATCATAATAAATGTGAAGCCGGGGTCAATACAATGAATGGTAGCACAACAGCTAAATACTCGCTAACGGCACATTTCACTTTGCTAGCATCTTTCAAACTCAATGCTGCATTGTTCAGGTAAAACAGACCATAATATGACATGACATGTTTAACTGTTGGAGGTAGCTCACAGTGGGTGTGATTAACCTCGTTAAAGACTTCACTTCCTGTTACAGGTAAAGGCGTGAAAGTGCAATTAACTGATAAGACCCAGTAGCAGTAAATCTTAGTTAATTCAGCTTTGAATTTACATTTAGCTGTAAAGTTATCAAGTTGTCAAATTATTAATGATGATAATAATAATACATTTAATTGAAGTTATTAAGATCAATTTGTCATAATTTCATAATTAATTAAGCATGTAAGAGATGCTAGATATCTGTAGATAGCTAAGTATAGCCAAGTATAGACTGCATTTATTTTAGATCAGACTTCCACACATAGGAACATGTTGGTGTATGGCAGGATTCCTGTCTGTCGTATGAGCTCGATCATCACTGGAAATATCCTGGAAAATGATCTCTAAAACGTTCATGATGAGCATATCAGCAATAACTTGAATGACAACTTATTTTATTGGTCTTTCTAAACCCACATGACAAACCCTGGTCTCTGGTGTCAAAGTCTTGTCCTCTGTGTGCACATCATCTGCCCCTTGTGCAGTGCAAGCATGTAGAGAAAATGTGAGTGGACAGACCGTGGAGTGCACACAGTCTAGGCAGCAATTATGTCTCCCTCAATATGATTTTGGCAAAAGAAATTAATAGTATATGAATGTAATCACAAGGAGAGAGGTTATTAGTTTTAGCAGCACAGTTAGGTTGAGGCTGCATGCTCTGATGCAGACGTGACAGCATCTGAAAAATGATCCATCAAAGTAAAGTGGAGCAAATTTCTCTCTGACTGAAGGACTCAACAGTAGCCAAGTGTTGTGAAAAGGTTGGGCTTGGCTAGTCCGGTCTAATTGCATAAGCCTTGGCCTTTCTCCAGGGGCCTCCCTTCACTTTATAAATCATATGAATGTCTGTTTTATACCACAGCACTGCAGTCATTGGTCATTTCTGCTGCAGGTCTTCAATCCTCAGTCCTCCAATATTACTTTCCTCACTACCTAATAATTCATAACTTCCATCAATCCTGCAGGCCGATAATGTTGCGCTCTTGATCGATTTGGACGACGCAGCCACTGAATCATAATCACGGAACAAGCTTCTCCGAGTTGTATACAAAGTTTAATTTGTT